AACAGACGAAAGGAAGAAGTATACTCTCAATAAGGATAACAACAAAAAGATGCACAAAATACAATTAACAAAAAGCCCTTGAATTCATCATAGCGACATATACCAAAATCGAAAAGCTATTTTGACACTCCAGTGTACTCGCATATTGCGCTTTAGCGGATGACCCAAGAGTCAACCCCCTGGGAAGGAGAAACAAAACCTTTGAATTGATATGTATCAATTCCAGCAATAGAAGGTTGGAGTTTATGTAGATGAAAATTTGTGGATACCCTGGTTGGGGGAGTATTGACAATGTGGGATTCTTGGACTAAAAGAGAACGAGCCACTTGGGGTTTCACTAACGTGGTTTATCATCATGCGGCCCATATCATCATGCGGCCCACTTTCACCTCAATTTGTATTTTTAAATCCATATTACTCAACAACAATTGATTCAATTGATTAAAACTATTAAGAATCTAATAATCTAGGATCTATTATATCGTTTTGACAAGTTCTTGAATTATGACCTGGTTTTCCACACTTACTACAGCATCTATTAGAAGATACTTCCCCATTAGGATTCCTCCCTTTTTGACGCTCGTCGCGTTGAATCTGAATATCAACCTCTTGCTGAGATAATATATCAAGAGCCTCTTGTCCAGTAAGTACTCCTCCTTGACGCAATTGGGTTTTTTTCGCACGTCGACGCTTGCTTAATGCCTCATTTGCTGCCCGAAGTGTACGGATCTCTGCACTTAAAAGTGTATTCTCATGAGCTAATCTCTCTGTGCCTTTAGCTAGAACTAGTACAGTCTCAAATATAGGTGTAGGGGAGCTTGATTGATGACGATTGATTCGAGATTTAACTAATGTTGATTGAGAAAGAGCTTCCGTAGGATTGTGAGGAGTTTGAGAGGTCCAGAGGTCTAAATTGACAAAAGGAGGAGGACTAGGTGTATGTATTCGAATATCTAATTTTGAGAGTACTATTTCAGGATCAAAGGGGACTAATCCTGTTCCTCGGAATCCAGATTTCATATTCTGATTCGTGATTGATCGTTGATATGCAGCTTTGAAAGCTATAAAGAATTCGACCTTTGAGATATGATTGATATGTGCCCTTATAAACCCCTCAATTTGAGTACCATATTCTTGTTTTAACCTATTAAAACATCCGACATCAAGTGGTTGAGTTAAATAACTTGAATGCAGTGGTAGGCATACACATATAATATCATTCTCCTTGCAATATGATTGAAAAGGTATGGATTCGTAGCTTTCGTGTCCGTCTAGCACCAACATTCGGTATTTGCCTACTCTGCAATCCTTTGTATGTTTATCGAAGTGTTTTAACCATTCCAATCCTGTCTCATTGTTCGTCCACCCATTGCTAGTAGGTTTAATAGCCCAATCTGCAGGAAGATCGGTTTCCGTATACCAATTGGAAAGATGCACCTGTCCTTGAACCACCAGGAATGGAGGTATGATTTCCCCTACACTACTACCGCATATGATCGCTGTCGCCCATTCCCTATTGCCTGGTTGTACTGCTTTACTCCTACCACTCCTCCCAGCACTAGTAACTACCATACCAGCATTTATAACTCCCATCATAAAGCCTGTTTCGTCGAAATTCCACATATCGCAATCTTGTATACCAAATTTCGCTCGCATATTCGATATAAGATGAAACCACTTTCGAATAAACTCAGGATCCTCGCACAAAGCTCTTTGAAAGTCATAAATACGACTAAAACGCGTCTTTAATTCTTTGTGACGCTTTACGAATCGATGCGCCCAGAGCTTTCCAACCGCTTTTCCACCTCTCGATTCAAGAATATGATTCGCCATATCTTCCACCCCTTTAAGTTTAGGTGGAAAACCTCTCGAATCCATATCAAGAATATATTGAATAATGATCTCTTCTTCTAATTCTGTAAGTTTATGGGTTTTATGTCGATATTCTGTACGAGGGGTAAAACCGTCTATTCTACGCCGTAGTGTTGTACGTGGTATATTATACATCGTAGCAACCTTTCTAACACTTAGTTTTTTGTCTTTATGAATAGCATCGATAGCTAGGAGTATACGGGCTTCTTCATTATTCGAATGCATCGTGGGTTGTTGATAAAACGCGTGTTGAAATAAAAGGGTGCAAATTGAGGTGAAAGTGGGCCGCATGATGATATGGGCCGCATGATGATAAACCACGTTAAGCATTCTATCGAGTTTTGGAGTGAATTCTAGAAGAAGGAGATTCCAAGGCTGATAAAACCTCTATCATATATCTGGGTCTCTTCAATGCTAAGAACATAGATAAGGTAGACTAATTCTTGTAGTTATTTGTATTGTTCTTAAATGTTCATATTTCATAGCATTCAGGCTCTCAATCTGCTAAAAGATTGACGGGGATATATGGATATACAGCGAGAATAGCTGAGAATTTGGCATAGGTTCCACACCTAGAATTGACAGATGATAATCTAAGGAAAGATTGACAACAGATATTTTTTCTTTGTTATATCGACAACATGTATTCGAACTTCCAAGGTAAAAATCTGCTTTGAAACATTCCCTGAAAACCTCCCTGAAGTGCCCATTGTATTTTTTCTCTAGCTGGTGACTTGTGGTCATATCTACGCTTGCATTTCCATCACACATACGTCTAATCTATCTAATAGCTCGCTACGATCATAACGAGAAGAAAGTCATGCACTACATGATCCTTCTTTAAGTACTCAAAAAGTACTCCATTGCCAATGGCCGAATTTACCAATCAATCAAACTTCCTCTCTCAGACAATTCTTTCAATTCACTTTATCCGCAATACGCATAAACTTTCCAAACCTAGATTTCTGGATTTCTTAACAATCTCTCGCCTATCCTATTTATACCTAGAAGCAAAGAGACCACAGACATCATGTCCACAACAGAAATTCGAAGGAGACGATATATGTGGTATACTAAACTGTGACGATAGTCCCTTGGAAGTCCAGCTTACATTTATGCTCACAATGGCCCCTCCGCGGAAACTCTCATCTAATTTTCTAAATTTTCAACAACACTCCTAGTCGAACAACAGAATACTTCTTCCGCAATGGCACTAACTCATCAGATGATAAACTCTAGAATTATGCCAGAAGAGAGTTATTCAATCAAGCCTCCCACAATATAGCCCCAAATATCCCCGAAACCAAACTCCCATTCTAGCAAACTATTCTGACATGGCATTGACCCTGTGTCAATTGATACCGTGCTTGCAGAATAACAATTCCGAGATCGTCTTCTCCAGCTATAAAGTAAAGGGTTGTAACTTTCGAACCACAGAACCGAGTTGAGGGGTGTAGAATCTAAGTGAATTATTCAGAAGAGCTATCAAGTAGCTTTACTGAGGGGTAGATCAGTACATGATACATGATAAATGAAACAAAATCATCAGATCTTGGAGGGTGCAGTAGATAAGATTAACCATTACACTCCCATTACATGCGACCTTGACACCTCATCCACTACTAGCAGAAGAGAAAGTCCCCCATCCCCCTCATTCATTCATTCATTCATTCATTCACTAGAACACAAATTTCACAAGCCTCTAATGCTATTTAAATCACCACAAACCCCACGAGTTTGGCCGTACAGAAAAAGGAAAACGATAAACATAACTCTACCTAGGGAAGTTCCCGAAAAATAGTAAGAACCAGATCAAGACAACGAAAAGCAGATTACCGCGATTTGTTTGACAATATTGGGTCGAAATCGATGAACAAGATAAGAGTTTCCTACAAACCCGCAGGATAAATGACAATAAGCGACTATTGTCATTGTTTCAGGATGGGAGAAGATTAAAAAGACGAAAAAAAAAAAAAAGATATGATATACCCCCAACCTCTCCCCAAGAGAAAATCATCTCAAAACACTGGATATCAAACTAGAACACAAACGCAAACCCCTCCAAACCCCCTCTCAAAACCAAGCCCCTTAACACCCATCCCCCCAATGCAATCCAATCCAACTCATAATTCCACACCCACTTTCACGTCCGCATGTTCTCTCTACTTCCCTCCCGTAACTCCCGCACCCCCAGAAGCAGCAGCCGCACTAGCCGCCACACTCACCTCTGTCTTTCCACTTCTTTTCCACTGTACATCGAAGGAGATATTAGATTAGCTTTTCTTTGTTTGATTATCCACTCATTCATTCATCAATTCCTCACATTTTCACACTCCCACCCATAGCCAATCCCCTTCCCCTCTTCCCCTCTTCCCTTCCCTTCTTCCCCCAATCCCAAAGCAAGAAAAGACAAAAAGGAGCAAAGAAATATCAAACTCACAACCGCAACCAAAAATCCACAATTCGCACACTTATGATGGACATCCTTAAAGCTCGTCATGAGATACGGTACGCACGGGAGACAAAAACAGAGACAGCAGAGGAGGGCTGAGATACTAGTTTGGGGGTTTTGGTTAGCTTTTTTCGTTTTCTGCTCATCCATTTGCATCCCCTCTTCCCACCTCCACCTCCGCCTCCTCATTCCCCTCAAGATTCCGAATCCCACCTCCCCCCCTCCAAATATCCCGTGGGCAAAACACTCAAAAAACAAAAACACCTACTCCGCCGTCCCCCCATTAACCCACTCCACCCCCGTATACTCACACACCCCACACCTAGGACACCTCACCAATCTCGATTCTTTTTGTAGGGAAGTGAGGGGTGCTGGATGTTGTCCTTCATATTTTCCAGCATATCCTCCCGTATTTCCTCCCACATTCGGATTCATCAATACTTCCGGATGTATTTGAAATTGCGGGGGGGTTTCATTCTCATTACTTCCATTATTCTCATTGCTTCCATTCTCATTATTATGATAATTAGTATTCGATACAGCCCCCTTCTCACTCGACCGCTGATCAGCATTCGAGTGAGCGTTGTACGAAGGAGGGGGTTGAGTATTAATCTCCGAATGGCTTGAATTTACTTTATTGCCAGTTGTGGTTTCAGTTCTGATTGCAGTTCCGGTTCTAGTGTGAGGATTGTGATTATGATTTTCTACCACCATTGGAAAATCAGAATGTGCTGTCTCGGACAGTGTTGAGGGAAGATTTGTAGGTGAACCCGTATTTGTATTTGTATTTATGGGTGCTTTCGTTTCCATTTTCGCGCTTGCTTGTTTGACTGATCGATAAATCGATCGATGAGTTAAATATATCCACTTATGATATGATACGATATACTGTGATGAAAGTATCCCGAAATCCGTGATAGCAGTCGTCAAAAATCCCAATTCCACGAAATCAGAAAAATCAGAAAACAAATTACATCAAAAAATCATCACCCAAACACGAGAGAAGCTCTCTCTATATACACCACACCCCTACATCCCTCGATCCATCCCACTCCTCTCATCCCTCCACTTTCCCATCCATCCATCCATCCATTCACCACTCTTCCACAATCTTTCCTTCCAACCATCTATACCAAGCTACCTGCACCAAACCCGCACCAAACCTCAGCCGCACCACTGCACTCCACTCCACCTCACCCTACCCTACCCTATCTCGAGCCTATCCCCAACCCGCCAAGAAAACCCACCGACCTCCCAAGCCGGCTCAAGGCACACATCCCATCCCTCTCGAGTCTCGTGACATTTGATTCTCGTATCAAGTACGATCATCAAACACTATTATACCATCATAGCATCATAGCATCATACCATCATAGCATCATACCATCATAGCATCATACCATCATATGTTCATACTAATCAAACAATCCAATCCAATCCAATCCAACCCATCCCAACCCTCAAAATAACAAATAACAATTCTTACAGCCTGCTTAGCAACTTAGCTACATATCCCCCAACACCAACACCAAACCACACCAACCCTCTCAAAAGTGGAAACTCCCCAGCCTCACCAGCCTCACCAATCTCACCTCACCATCCCTGGAAATTCTTGGCTTGACGTCGTGATCGCCAGAGGTATATACACACCACGCCGAGTCGCCAGACCCGTCAATACTTTGATTTGAACCGGCTCGCGAGATCTGGTCTTCTCAGCAGACACCACAAGACAATGAGCAAATTATTTGCACTTGCACTTGCACTTTCTCTCTACCTCTCCACCCGCATACAAGTTACAAAAGAACAAAACGAATACATTCACTCACTTCACTTCTCATAATTCACAACATCCCACACCTACCCATCATCCCCCTCCCCCACGACACACACACACACACACACACATATACACACACACACACATACACACATACACACACACACACACATACACACACACACACTTACCTACCTAGCCTATCATACGTAACAAATTCCATGAAACTATTCGGTATTTATATTTATAATTACTTAAGAATATACTATACACAGAATGATGAACCCGAACGATCCACCATCTCCCCCTTTGTAACAACCCCCACTCCATTTTCCTTTCAAGATCGCCCATGTCTCCCATCCGTTTCTATCACTTAATTGCCATGCAGACGATAATATTTCCCATTCATTTTCAGGTATTTATTCTTTCCTCAAAGCTAGAAGTCATCAAGATGATTTTAGATTCCAGTTCAAAGAAAACTGCCACTCTCTTTTGACATTGAGATATAGTAAGAAACTTTTCCCTTAGCCGGCAGCGAGCGACGACGATAAAAAACAAACTCCTTGTAAATGCTTGAAATAAAACTCCCCATTTGTTCGCTTCTGTATATGAATGACTGTACTGCAGCGCTGTATCAGGTTATTCTCCAACTTTAATGACTTTTGAGGATCGAGATAGCTGAAGAGTTTATGACACTTGTTGCTTATTGCCCTATTCATGAATATATTCATTAGGCCCCGATCCTCACATATCCCTGCACGTGGTTTTGATTCTCAATACCCTCCATTACATTTCCTCTCGGATTACCGCCAGCATTAACACCTTGCATATTAATTCCTCCATTCGCCAATCGGAAATTTGTCGTATTAGACATTGGTGCTTCAGGTGCACGTTGAACACCTGCATTAACGTCTGTCATATCGACAAAAGTATCATCTTCCTCCATATCTGCATCGCCATCTGCATCTTGATCGCTTCCAATATCCTGCGCATCCTCTTGCAATGGTTGGCTTGTTATGGTAGAATTAAGTTGTGGTGGATTTGATGGAGGTAATACTTCACTAATATTATTCTCAAGTGGCTTTTGTGCAGCCATGCCAGATCCAGACTGTCCAGATCCAGCTCGAGCTTGTTTGACAACACCTTTCCAACGATTGATAGCTCGTTCCACTGCCGTATCGAGATGTACACCTCGATCCGCGAGTTGAAGACCAACAGCTTTGTGTGTCGTTCCCAATTTACCCAATTCATTCATAAGACGTGAATCAATAGGTATTGGTGAAGGTGGTTGAATCCTGAATTCCCTAGGTTGTTGTAATCGACTTAATTCTTCAACTTGTAATTTTGAGTGCGCAGTCTCCTGTTGTAAAAGTTCCTTCTCCTTCTTCAACTTGGATATCTCCTCAGACTTTCGACCAATATTACGAGCTAATTCGAGAGTCCAAAGTTCAGTCCTTTTGTTTGGAGGTAACGAATTCCAATGCCCAAACATTGAATGTAAGTGCTCAGAAATCCTAGTTTCAATGCTTTGAGCATCTGCTTCCGCTTGTTGGTGTAGTGCAGCAAGACTCTCGAGTCCATTGAAGTTTTCCTGTGGAGGATATGATAAATCATCTTGTGGAGTTGTCGTAGCGATGGATATTGAGATACGGTAGCGGTGAAACTCCGATGCAAAATGTTTCCGTAATGCTTGATATTGTAATTCATCTGGTGGAAGAATAGACCATGAAGTAGAGTTCGGAATAGGAGTAGACGCGTAAAGGGTCGGTGGTGGTGGCAGACAATGTAAGGTAAGGGCAGGAAAATCCAAACTGAAAGGATCGTAGTCAAAAATATTGGGGCCTTTGATTCGTTGTCTGTAAGATTCCGAGTTAGAACTAAACTCAGATTGTATGGTTTGAAAGAACTTACTTGGCCGCTCTGAACCCCCCTAAAAGTTCTCTTAAAGCCAATTCTGCCGCTTTTGCATTATCCAGAGCTTCCATCATCTTTTGTTTTTGCTCGAACGTCGTTTTCGCTAGCATTTGTTTGCTGACAGATCTATTTCTGCCATCCGTTCTCCTACTCCCATCTCTGGATTCATCTCCATCCCAACTTCGAGCGGGTTCGGCATTTCGTGCTTGAGGGATATGATTCATAACGCCCGTTGACTCCCAAGTACCGCCATTTACAACAAAATTAGGTCTTCGACTACCCAAAGTTTGACCTGGCACCCCCCTTGACATGCACATCATATTCATAGCCGCTCCATCATCTCTTCTTAAGCTTGGAGAGTCACTCCCTACCATATCGGAATCATTGTTAGAATTCCCCCTTTCCGATCCTCCAGGTGTCCCTGCAGGTGTCGAATCTTCCCTTCTTGAAGTTGAATTACGTGGCTGCCGCCTCGTAATGCCTCCACGAAGCTTCCTTATCTCATCCACACTATGTATACCATCTGCCGCTTTGGGATTCTTCTCCTTTATGTAAAGATCGAGATGGCGGCCAAGTGAGGATGAAGTAAATGCCTGATGACAGAATGGACAATTCTTATCCTTTGGTGCGGAGTTCTTGCCACCATTCACTGAAAGATCAGCGCTGGAATTGGGGGTACCCATTTGTTCGGCCATATCAACAATCGCTGCGCGCTGTACTTGGATACAGTAGGAATTTGCTGTCGAATTGGTACATGTATATATCTTCTTGTTTACTCCAGACCTCCTCTTTGTTTATGTGCAAACGCAAGTAATTTCAGAATAATATAAACCCCCAAATAACAAATACTCCTGCGAAGAAAGCAGAAAATAGAAAAGAGATGAAGGTAAATGTAAAGATTGTAACGGTCAAAAGAAGGAGTAGTGGAATTTGAATTCTAAGGGGTTTGCAGCTTTGAATTTGTTCCTTCATGGGGATTAGAGAATATTTCGCTAACAGGGATTAATCAACGACCCATTCCGGAACCCGATAGTTTAATTCTTGGTGCTCCGCAAATCATTGACAATTGGACCGTCAGATCATGAAGAGGGAGAAGGGATCAAGGGAGAATTATGAATGATGAATTGAATACAGAGGAAATGAGAATTCTATTTAAAGAGAAGGGAAGGAAAAGAAAGAAAAAGAGAAGCTTTGATTGATATGATACTCGGATTATACAGTATGGATTAGTTTCTTAAATACGATCAAGATCAATACACGCCTTTTTCCACATACGGACTATTTGGTGAAGATGTCAAACAAGAGTTGAATTGATCCCCTGGTTGGATCGCTATGGAGTTCCAATCATCCAATAGATTGATTAGGTATTCAATATAATCGGTATCTGAATAGAAGTTCTCATTGGCGTTACATTTAGTCATTTAGATTCGTTGAAAGCACAGCATCCACAGCATCCACAGCATCAAATCAATCAATCATGAAGCAAACATTTCATGTTCAACAACAACATTTGTATTGTTGATTCTATACTCATTGAAATATGAGGACATCAATCATAAACTATTCCTTGAAAACGCCCAAAATAAATGCCACTCTTTGCCCACCCACCGATGATGCTCATGAAGCCTGTAAGATATGGATATCTAAGAATCATTTGGTATACCGAGAAAATGCCACCAGTAGAAATGCCACGAAATACGACGGAGAAATCATTGTAACAATGGATCCTAAAGAATGTTGTTAGTGGAGTCAATGTCAAAAATGGTTGATGACAACTTACTCTGAAGTGTTTTTGTGAGTTGTTCTGCTTATTGTTTCTCCAGTCAAATTTACGGCGTTCGTAGTTCTCCACCTTTCTGGATCTTTTCTCCGCCGCCTTGACTTCTCTTCTCTTCTCAGCGGTGACACCAGCCATACCTAGACCACCATTTGCACGGCTCATGAGTGCTCTTCCACGTTCTCTCTCATTGCGTCTAACAACACGTTCATCTTGCTCTACATCAGAATCGGAATTTTCAGCTGCCTCAATTGCACGTCGTTGTCTCTCTTCTGGTGATGGATGATTGACCAAATTTTGACGATAATATTTTTGTAATGATCGATGTCCAGCGGTACGGCC